CAGTTACTTCAAAAAAAAAAAATTCAAAATCTGAAAGAATTCAGTTCCTAAGCATTTTGGGTAAGGGATACTGAACTTATAATTATTGGGTTGTCAGGAAAGTCATAATGCATTTTTTGCATAGGAAAACATAGAAAAATATATCATGACTTTCCTGATGACCTCATATATATTTTGACCATAATTTGGCAAATCTGAACTTTATTGTTGGATAGTAAATTTGTTTTTCCTATTACAAAGTATATTGTAATAAGTAATCTTGTAAATATGTCTCTGTCATCTTGCATGTGTTCAAGTATGTCTGGAAGATAATAGAAGTGGAATTGATGGATCAAAGATTTTCTTTTTTAATTGCCAGAGAGAGTATATACTGTCAGAGATAGAGAAAGAAAGAGAGAAAGAGAGAAAGCACCTCCCAATAGGTCACACTGCAGTCCCTTCTCCATCTCTTCATCCTGTCGGGACTTTGGGCATGCACACACATATGCTCAGCATTGTTCCTCAAGCTGCTGGAGTCAGGATTTGAACTGCATTTGGCCTTGTAGGATCTGGGTCCCTTAACCACCATGCCAGGGGGCAAAGCATAGCAGGATCAAAGATTATATATGTTTATAATTTCATCACCCGAATGTTCTCCACACAGGTTTTGCCAATTTACTAACCAAGCAGCAATATAATGAAACTAGTTATTTCTCCACTGTATTTATAGATTTTTGTCAAGTTGCACTTCTTGTAATGGCCACAACTATCTTAAGTGGTAAGAGCAGTCAATTTTAGATAAAAGCTTATTTGTTGATAAGAGAAGTGTGTCAAAAATTTCCTTATACAAAGCAACCTTGAGTTTGGAAACCGTTCTGTACAAGATGTCTACCTGTCACTTCCAAAAGGAGAACAAAACTGTAACACAGCTGCTGTTAAAGCAAGAAAAGCTTAGATCTTATAAACTGTCAAAACTCCCGAGTCTTGCTGCTTAAGTTACTTGCCAACATAGGATAACTTGAAAAAAGAAAGGATGCACATATTTATTGCTAATGCTGGGGACATTGCCATCAAGGCAGTTGGCAGAGTGGCTGACATTTTAACAGTCCTAGGTCAGATAATTTTCTGCATCTATCCAAGAGAAGATTTGACCAAGGACTGACAAAAAAAAAAAAAAAAAAAAAAAAAAAAAAAAAAAAAAAATTATTAGGTGCTGGATCCCCTATGACTGACTGTGCAATTCAAGTCCTGGATCTGGCAGCTTGAAAAACATGCCGACACACGTGTGTGCATGCCCAAAATCCCAAGAGAAGAATGGACAAGAATGTACTGTGCATGACAACAGCCCCGAGGGGAGATTTCTCACTTTCTCTCTCTGTCGAGTACATACACCCTATGACAAAAAGCTTTTTTTCTAAAAAAAAAAAAAAAAAAAAAAAAGGAAAAAGAAAAAAAATCAAATTATTCTGTTCACTTGGCTGCATCTAAATGTCTCATTTTCAGCTTACAGGAAGGATTGCTGTGGAAGCAATCTTCGGTGTTACAACAGAGTGACCGTAAATTGCTTGCATAACTGTTGGATCTTCAAATATAAAAATGCATGGAAAGTCATTGTCTGAGGTGGAACAAAGATTTTTCACTTGGGTTTTACTCTGCATATAATGTTTATAACTTAAATTTACATTAAGATAGGTTTTACATTACCATTTACTCAGGTTTACAGAGGAAGATTCATTTATAGGTTATAAGGAGAATCAGCGGCAGATGGAAAACTGATTTTTTTTTCTTTTCTTTTTTTTTTTTTTTTTTTGCTGCAGGCACGTGTGCTCACTAGAGAGAGACATAGAAAGGTAGAGAGGGAGAGAAAGTGAAAAAGCACCCTCCAGCGGGGATGCCATGCCTCACTTCTCCATGTTCTTCTCAGGATTTTGTGTATGCCTGTGGATGTGTCCAGCTTGTTTTACAAGCCCTTGGTCTGAGACTCGAACTGCACAGTTGGCCATGTGGGATCCAGCTGCCTTCACTACCACACCACCAGCTGGCCCGAAAACTGAATTCTTGAATCTTTGTCTTTAATATATCCAGTGCTATTGGAAACAAGTACTGCTTCCTTTATTATTTCAATGCCAAAATTAAAAATGTAGGCTAGGTTTGAAAGTTGGAGATCATAAAATGCTTTATGTGGTTTTTGTAGAATACATTCCCCTCATAGTCTTAACTTGCTTTTGTTATAAATTTAGTTGTGTAAATAAGCCTGTTGCTGATAAACACAAATTTATATCAGTCTTGGGACCAATATTTTAAAAAAATTAGACTTTTAGTTGTGTAAATCAGCCTGTTGCCAATAAATAAAAAATTATATTAGTTCTAGGATCAACATTCTGAGAAGGGATCAAGTGGGGACCATCTGAGAATTTTTAAAAGAATGTCTGTCTAAAATAGCTGGTAAAATAAAAATATATTGTATGAGCTAAAATAGGGCAAAAAAGCTAAAATGCAGTCCATGTCCTAAAATAACTAGCAGTTTAAATGGGCCCAAGTGGTATGTAATTATTGTTTCTCTTACCGTATATGTCCAGGAGTTTTAATTTTTAAAATCCTACATTTCATGCCTTTTGTTATTTTCAAAAATACATTCATAATAGCCATTGTGTTTAACAAACTAAAAGTTTTGAAATTGCCATTTTAACCTACAGGTTGACGTTTTATACTAGTAGATTGAACTAGCTAGTTATTAGTAGGTGATTTGCTCCTATAAATAAAAAATAAAGAAGAAATGAGTTGCGTTTGGTTCATCATCGTCTCCCTAGCTCCTTTCCCCAACCTCTTCAAATCGAATATTTTGAAAGTAGAATCAACTGAATTTTATACTATAAAAATTATCTACATGTGGCTTTCTATAGTTAAATACAGTTAGGTTTATTTTACTTGCAGCAGGATGGGAGAAGGTATTGCTTAGTGCAACCTTGCCTTTGGGGTGAGGGAGAGAAAGTCTTGATCCAAATACGCAGAATCGGGTAGGTTGGTTTTAGTATCTTCTAGGAGTTTAATGTAACACCCAAACCACATGTTTCTGTCATTCTTGGGCTATAACAGAGGGCAAGACTTACCTTAGGATCTTACAAACCTCGTCCCACCTTCCATGATGAGCAGTCTGTAGATCCTTAGGTAGCTCTTAAGATTCTCTCCAGTGTTGGGTTGGCAGCTGCCTGCACATGGTGTCATTTGGTGCTGAGACTAGCTGCCCAACTCTGAGCATCAGTCCTGCATCTCACCATTGGCATTTTTGGTGGCACAGTGGCTTCTGTGGCTTTATCTGGCTGGCATCAACTTTCAATCTGTCTATTCAGTTCCCTTTTCTGCCTTTCCTCTCACAGGGTTAGACTTTGGAGATAAAGTGCTCTTTCCTTAGCCAGAAGCTGATGTAAAAGATGTAAGCAGTGAAACAGCAAATAGGCAGATGCTCGGGATCATTATCTTTTGAGCTCAAAGTTGATATTCCTGTCTGTGAGATTTTAGGCCTGAGTTTTAAAATTAGGGCCAGACCCTTGAAGCCAGTTTCTGGGTGTTGGCAGGAACAGAGATGGTTGTGGGATCATCTGTAAGAGGTGTGCGTGTGTGCTTATGTGCGTTCATCTACACAGCCATAAAAAGTGTTTGTGCATGCTTGCTATGTTTAAAGATATGTTTTGGGGAGTTTGTGCTGCACAAAGAGGGGAAGGCAGTGACCATATTGGGAACTCTTTGGTAGTCACCATATGAAAAGGATAGAGATCTATTCTGTGGAATAGTTCAAGATCATCACTGGAGTCCTTTGTTATTAAACACAGCAGAGTGAAACCCATTATGTCGGGATCCCAGGCTGTCCTGCATGATGGCACAGAGAGACGTCTGGTAGGAGGCTCAAGTCCCTCCCCCCCCCCCCCAGCTCAGCACGTACTTTGATTGCCTTTGCCGAGATCTCTTGAAACTCTTGGGTCTCTGTAGGACACACTTGGAGAACATCTCTCTAGAGGTGTTTTATAATGTGACTCCCTAACCTTTTCCGTCATAAACTGAAAGGGAAACTTTTTTTTCTTTTGTCCGAATTTTCTCTTTTAAAAACTAGGAGTTGTTGGGCCCGCCAGTGGCATAGTGGTTAAGGTATTGGATCCCACAAGGCCAACTGCCTGGTTCAAGTCTTGGACCCTGTGGCTTGAAAAATAGGTCAGGCATGTTTGCTTGTGTGCCCCAAATCCCCAAAAGAGGAAGAAATGGAGAAGGGATTGTGGTGTGATTATCCCCATAGGGGTGCTTTCTCACTCTCCTCCTCACCTGCAGCAAATGCACTCTCTCTGGCAAATTATAAAAAAAAAAAAATAAGGAGTTGTTAAAAATAGCTTAGTTAAATATCACAAATCACTAGATTTCTGTACATCTTTCCTATAGAGATTAGTTCATGGATTACTAAAAAATATTAGTTGATGATGATGATGGTATTAGTCGGCTGTCAGGAGATTTGGAACTTATATGGTGTATCCACTGATGGTTAGAAGGCACATGACCAGAAGTTTAACCTTTGTGTGTACCTCCACACGTATTGCAAAGGATGGTGATATAGGTCATCAGTCTTGTGGGATATAAATGATTGGTGAAGTGGTCTGAATGCTTTAGTAAAAGCAGATGAATCAAAGGGGTAGGCCTATTTCTATTGTTTGGATTTAAAAAAAAATAATTATACATTCATGTATTCTTTTCATACTTTGAAGAAACAAAAAGGTAATACTAGTGCATTATAATTTTATTACACATTTAAAGTGCAGATTTTTAAGATTCAAACTGTGCTTTTTAGTAACTAATAATTTAAGAATTATTTTTGATCCTCCTCTACTTTTCTAACCGTTTTTGCTTGCCTAATGTTGGAAAACCCAAATCAAAGATGCCTGCATTTTGAACAGGTTGAACTTGTGGCCTTGACTATAATTGTCACTTCACAGTCTATTTTTGATTTTAATCTTATTATTATACCTTTCTTTCTATAGACTGGCGAATTTTCAGCGCGTTTCCTTTTGAAGTTGCCAGTGGATTTCAGCAACATTCCCACATACCTTCTCAAGGTAAAAATATATGATCATCAGTATGATAATATAAATGAGCTTCTTAAATAATTATTTAACTCAGTATTTGCATGACTGGTTTGTCAGCATTTTGTTCAGATGGTGAGTTCTGTTAAAAATATTTATCGCATAAAGATCCATTGAATTATTTTATTACCTAAAAGCTGAAATTACCTAAGAAGCCTTAAAAGTCATTTCAAGGGCTAGTAGGCGGTGTGGAGGTTAAGGCACTGGATTCCACATGGCTGACTACATGGTTCAAGTCTTGGACCCGGTGTCTTGAAAATCACGCAAGGCGTGTGTGCGTGCCTGACCAAATTCCTGAGAGGAGACTGGAGGAGAAGGGATGCAGTATGGCCAGCACCCATGGGGAGTGATTTCTCTTTACCCTCTCTATCTCTCTCTGGTAAGCACTTGGGCCCTATAGCAAAAACTAAAATATCTTTATACATTCTATCTAATGGGAAAATAAAATAAAAAAGAAATAAGTCATTTAGAAATTAGTTTTCTGTGTAAGATTAGTATGTCAACTAAACTTTGGGGGGAAATCCCTTTTATTTAATAATATTATTAGAATGAATGGCTGTCATACAAATTATCTAATATGTATTCTGTCTTTAAATGGGATTGCATATTAACCATGCTGTGCTAAAGTTTACTTCATTTTCTTTATTTATGGCAGCAGTTGAGGTTGGGTACCTTCAAAATTATCGATAGATTGTCCTGAAGAGACACAGAATCCAGTTAGTTAGGCCCATATATATAGTGTTCGTTAAAATATGGTACAAAGTATGGCCTGGAGGCAGCTACTTCGGGGAGGGGTTTGTTGATATTTTGCAGAGAAGAGGTAGAATCCAAGTGACTAGGCTATGATTAGTATGAGGGAAACTATAATAAAAGTGTCAGGAAACAAATTCTGAGAAGGAAACTTAAGAAGGGCCTGGGCTCATCAGAGATGAGGATTTGGGTTGTGTTTTCAGTTTGTGCTAGCCTCTCTCAGCCTCCTATTTTAGCCTGTGGTTATTTCAGTCTAAAGAGAAATTTCTGCCTTCCTAACCTAATGTTCAGAGAGTTAATGGAACGTACAACTGCCAGGGAAGAAGACAATACTTATACGAATTGCCTTGTATGTTGTAGTAATTAATAAATGATAATAGATATTCATCTTGATAATTATTAGAAATATGGCTTGGCAGAATATAAACTGTAGACTTTAGAAAAGGTTAGGGAACATATTTTTATACATTCTATCCAATGGGAAAAATTATTTTCTTTTTTCCTAAGTGAAACATGGGTTTTTATACCTCATTAAACTTTCATTTTTAGTTTCCAGTTGACTAGTTTTCCACTCTGTACCCAAGGGTTATGGAGTCTAAGTGAGAATGGAGGTCAGCAATTTAAATCAGTTTCTTTGCACCCTGTGGTGGAAAATATACATATTAGATATGCGATTACCAAGCATAATTAATTTGGTCTCAGCAATTACTGCACTCCATTGGAATAACAGTTTCCTCAGAAACTCTTGTAACACATACTCATTGACCTCCATATATTCCAATCGGAACTCTTCCATGTCATTTAAAACCAGTCCATGCAAGCTTGTTATTCATATAATCACCTTACTCCACAATTTATAGCTACAGTATCTTCATTTTGATTTGTTGGGCCTTATTAGCTTGAGTAGTCTTCATGTTTATTTGAAATTGATGTTGCTGCTACTCACCTACTTGAGGGTCAAAGCAAAAAAGCTTTCCTTGGTTCATTATCTAATTCTTTTTTTCTCAATATCAAATTCTCATATTTTCTGTTTTAGGAATTCTAACATTATATTATGTTCTCACTTTCCTAGCTAGCCAGTAAGAGAAAGGTGGAACCTGTTTGCCAAAATTGTAAAGTTGTTTTTCCTCCAAAATAATGGTGAAATGATTTATCTCCTATAAATGAAATACTTACATTGCCACATTAATGTCTTTCTAGATCTTTAGTTAATTTCAAAGAAAGTAAAACACTAGGACAGGGGACCAGCATATTGGCATGGTGGTTAAGGCACTGGACACTCCTACATGGCCGATCACAGTTCGAGTCCTGGACCTGGTGGCTTGCATTCTCTCTCTCCCTCTCTCTCTCTCTCCGTCTCTCTCTAGTCAAATTAAAATAAATTAATGAATAAATTAAAAATAAATAATTAGTTAAAAAAACCCACTAAAACAAAAAGATGAAAATATTCTAACAGCAAAAACAAACAAACAATCCAACCAAACAGAAACACTCTTTAGCATGCCAGAAATAATCCAGAATACCTATTGAGGATTTTTAAGTTTTAAGTTCCTAAAGTTTTGCCTCAGCTCTAAAAAGGAAATTTGCAGTAAGAATTGCTCTACATATTATTTGCATCTGGATGCTCTTCACTTAATTACTAGGCCTGTAGTTGATAGTCTAAGCCCCCAAATAAAATAAACTTTCTGAATTCCTAGGGTTAGGGTATTCTTCACCAACATCAGTGTAGCTTTAACTCACCATCCCAAGCAAGTGAAGGGTAAAGTAGCACTTTTAGAGATTGAGATAGCATAGAGTTTAACTACATACCTGCTGTGCGGTGGCTCCGTTGATGTCCAGGTTCTTGGTGTTTTGAACAAAGAATTAAACGAAACACACCAGTAGCAAAAGCAAAGGGTATTAAAGCAACGTTTATTAAGTGAAAAGTACCGTTCCGAGCCATAGGAGTGGCCTGAGAGAGAAAGAGTGGCTCAAGGGCCCCAGTAATTACTTTCTGTGGGGTTTATAATTTTTTAACCTGTGTTGTATTGATTGATCATTGGCTGGGCTCACTGATTGCTTTCATCCCAATGGCTGTATCAGATGTGGCTGGGCCCACTGATTCATCTCACTAGCTCTATCAAATGTGGCTGGGCCCACTCATTTATTGGGTGAAAAATGCATCATGACTTTTCCAGCAACCCAATATCTCTTTGGCTGTATCCTATACAGCTTAATCAGCTAGACCTTCCCCACTGGATATCTCCCACCTACATTATCTGAGTGGAGAATTTTTTGCCCTAATCAGTTTTTCTATGTATGTAGACAGATATTCCAGCCCCCTTTTACCTGCTTCCCTTTTCTAACTTTCTTCCTGCCTCTTATCCTATTGATTTGCTACAGTGAAATTTCATTACACTGTCATAAACCATGATCCATTCATAAGTTTGTATTACCAAGTGTACCTATTATATTATACCCACTAATAGAATTATTTGATGTTAGAATGAAAATGCTATTAATATTCAGTGATATAATTTTTGCTTACTATTATACTCTATATATGGTTCTTTGATGGGTTAGAGTGAATTTATTTTGAAAATAAAGCCTGACTTCAGAGTGAGCATTTTACTGTTGGTTGAAGTAAGTCAAGTTCAATAAATCATTTACATAAAAACTTAGTCAGTAGAAAAATATTTCTGCATTTATTAGAATTCTGTATTTGCAGTGGTAGAAATCCAGCATGAACTCTTATAATCAAAGGGAAATATTATACAACTCTGTGGCTTCCATAGTCCCTGTAGCAGCAAGCAGATGCCATGCTGAATAGTGTATAGATCAGGTGTAGACCAGCTTCCCATGTCTGTTCCACTTGGGCCTGCTTGTGTACCTCTGATCTTCTCAGCTGGTATGTTGTGGTCCCCAGAATATAGGGAAGGAAGATTATAGCAATGATAAAAGTGTAAGTATTCACTGAAGTTACTAAAGCAAAGAAGGCCTATTTATAATTGTATACTTTCTCTTAAGAAGGAGCTAGTCATAAGAAGATGTTGTTCTTAATTTTCATAGAGTGTGGAGAAAAGTGACTTATGTATATTCTTATCTTCACTTTTGTTCTGAGAATTACTGCACCTAACAATATGATGCTAAGAAAGTGCTGCTGCTGTTGTGGTTTTCTGGAAAACCGTGCTCCATGATGAGATAACTAAATAGATGTTTCTTATTGTCTACTAAAGTTTTATAATTTGAATGAGAGGTACTCAAAACCCAAAAATATAGTATTTGGGGGAAGAGGAGAAGCTTATGTGTAAACATATGTCTGAGTTAGTTTCTTAAAATAATGAACCAATTTTATACAAAGTATAGTAAATTAAAATCCTAGAGTTAGGAATCCTTTTAGCAGAATTATATAGAAATAAGTAGGAAAATTGCTGGGCCTCACTGAACTGAAAGATTAAATAACAGCTATTTCTTGCTGGTACTGATAAGGAAAACATAATTGTGAAAAAAAATCAGTGTTAACTTTTCTTTGTTAAATAATAAAAGGCCATTTAGTTTCTTTAGTCTACATATTAATAGTCGTTGGGCTTTCTCTAAACTAGGTACCATTGAACTCTAGCTCAAGCCAGAAGCAGGGCTATAACTGATTTACTGTGACTGAAGGTCCTGGGCTTTTGTTTTCTTATTGACATCATTTAAAATGACACAGTCAGCCCATTCATCCCAATGGATTATTTGCAGAATTGGTTCCACTCTGGAATCTGAATCATGACACTGTATGGAAATGAACTGAGGGTGAAAAGTCTAAGATAAGTCATTAAAGTCAGGAGATGAAGTTCTCATCTTTCTGAAGTCATTGTAGCTATAACTGATTGGTCAGGGAACACTCAGGGCAGAACACAGATCACTCTGCCAAGCAGAGGCAGAAAGCAGGAATTAAGGTCAATTATCAAGACATGGTTAGGTGCCTAGGACAGGCAGACATTCGTAGTGAATATCTAGGTTGTGAGCATATGATGGTCTAAGCAGGTCACTGACATCTGCGTGTTCTTGTGTGCTGAAATTGTCTGGAGTAGGAGCTGCCTCCTGAGCCTGACATTGGCTAGCAGGTTACTCACTTATAGTCAGTCTGCTTTCTAATCAAACCTGGTTAACAAAAACATATGTTCGCAGAGCCAGACAGGTACCGAAAAGCAGTGAATCTGCCTTGATATAATGCAATAGGAAATGGTAAGAACTGTAGT